GTCTGGCACAGACGTGCTTTTCTTTTCTTTCTTTTGTGGATTTGTGTTTAGCAAACATGACAACAACAACAACAACAACAACAACAACCCTCCCCCCCCCAAAAAAAAAAAAAAAACTTTTCTTCCCTCTCCCCCTCACTCCCCCTCTGTCGTCCACTATTTACATGCAAATACTTTGTTTTTGTTATTTTGTGGGTGGTGAACATGACAATGCACACACACATACTGTTGGCGCACTTCTGGAGGATAAATCAATTTACTGTTTACTTTTCCGGATGCTTTCCGCTCTACTGCAAACGGGTGGAGATGTCTTGTACTAAGGAGCCACTGTGGAGTTTAGGGCTTGTGAGGTTCTGACGCTGGAGGTAGTATGTTCGCACTTAAAAAAGCATGAACCTTGGGAAAACATAAATGTTGGCGTAATACCAGCCAGGTTCATACTTTCCTGGCGTGAAGATAGAGGTCAGTGGGATCTGGGACCTGACCCTAAGATAGTCAGGTCCCATGAAATCGAGTTATAAATTATAATACCATCCGAATGCCTGGTGTCGGCAGTTGAGTTATAATACCATCTGCTTGTGACCGTCAGATTTTCTCACTGTCAAATTTTCTTGAGAAGGTTCCAGTGTGAGGGCGTGCTCACACTAGGCCCTTTTAGGAGGACTCGATCTTGCTGCTGATTTTGCTATTCTGCATGTATAAGGGCCTAGTGCGAGTGTACTCTGACTAGCCCTGATAGTATCTATGGCTGCAGTTTTTTTTATGCAACTAATCTCTCAATTCTTTATGAGCCTTCCCTCCTTAACCTTGGTTACATTTGGTCAATATGGGAAGGAGGGGTGGGGTGGTGGTGGGGGGGGGGGGGGGGGGGTGGAAGGGAAGTTAATCCGAATCACTAGTGTGTTCTGTGGCCGGCCCATCCGTAAAAACGAATGTGGGATCTTTCGTTGCGCTACTGTGTCCAGTTTGCCATTTCTAAAAGGGATGTGTGGCCACCTCTGTATACCACCGGAACCGTGGAAAAAAGGACAAAGGAAGAGATGGAAGAAACATAAAAAGAAACGCTGTAAATACGATTTAGGGGAGAGATGAAAAGAGGGAGGGGGAAAAGAGGGAGAGAGAAAGTGAGAAGACTGATGACGTTTTCCTGCCCATTGGAGGAAGGGGGGGGGAATAGGAGTAGCCATAACTTCTGCCACAAGGAGAGGGAGGGAATGGAAACAGAGGAAAAATCTGAACAACGAAAAAAGTGAGGGAGTTGTGTTGGCTTATGGCCAATTTCAGCGGATCAGATTTGCTCCCTTTAAACCTCTATTCTTTGTGTTTTTGGTTCCCTTGTCATTTTTTGTCATATTTGTCCGTTTTGGTAATCAATATGGTCCTCTCCTGTCAGACAAGAGAAAACGAACGTCAGGCCTGGCAGTTCTCTCCCTCTCTCACCCTCTCCCTCTCCGTCTTTCTTCCATCTATGCCGCTGTGGGATGTTGGCTGCCAAATATTATTCACGGTCTTCTCTTCCTATGGAATGACTGATATTGTCCTGCGACCAGCAGTCTTTGCTATTTTCCTTCGTTTCT